ATATATATATATATATATATATATATATATATATATATATATATATATATATATATATATATATATATATATATATATATATATATATATATATATATATATATATATATATATATATTATTGAGGAAATTATTTCATAAATTCAATACCCTTAATTTTACAGCTTTGGCATTATCGTAAAAATGAACCCCAAACTTACTTGATAATTGCCTTGATAAAAATTGCTGACATCTACGTTAACTTATTTTTGGTTGCCTTCAAAATAATACTCTTCGTTTGTGTATTGTTATTAAGAAAATTAATTAAAAAATAAATTGCTAAGAATCTGCGGTGAGTAATTGTATAAAAAACTTATATTTATCAAAACCAAATAAAATTTCTAGATAAAGAACAAAAAAAGGATCGCAAATAAGTAAACTTTGCCTGCTGTTGCATTTACTTTTCCTTATAATTATTGGTAAGAGAGAATTAGGAGTTTTATCTTTTTATGCATGTTTTTTTAGAAATAATTTTTTAGTGTTGAGAAATAATACACATTTTATTTACGATTGTTTTATTTATTTTCAATTTAAGAACTAATGGTTTAGTTATTAACATAACTAAAAAATTTGGTCCAAAACGTTAGGTTTAAAAGGTCAAAAACCTTTATATATAATAAGAATGTTTTTAATCTTCTTTAATAGACTTTTGTAACTTCTTAGCTAAATGCTTATTTACTTCATTTTAAAATAAGTGCTGCGAAGTTCTAGGGTTGAGAATAGGTTAAAAATACTAACATATAGTTTTCAATATGTGTGAATATTTGAAGCACTTGTAAATTTGGAATACTTTATTAAATCAATATGACATTCATACTGCAATTTAATTTATCTAGGTATTGTCTTGGAAAAAAACATGGTAAAAAAAAAGGTGGGGATATAGATCATCACCAAGATTTCAAAGGATGTCGGTTGGAACAATTGCTTCTGTAACAGAGGCTACAATATGTTATAATACAACTTATCTTCATAACAGTAAAACTCCTTCAACATCTGATAGTAGTACTTTTGACATTTTTCAAATGAAACAGCCACCAACAATTGATGTTTCTTAAACCCGCGTCAATGGTTCCAATCATTCCATTGATCAATCAGTCTCTGTTAAGAAACCGGGTAAATTCCTGAATTGGAGTGAAGAAAATATGATAAGTGCAATTAAACATTTCAGATCAGAGCCATCATTTTCAGTGAATAAGGCAGCAATATTGTACAATGTGCCACGTACAACACTGAGAGACAGACTTTCTAAAAAAGTTGTTATTACAGCAAAGCTTTTGCTCTGGAAGAAAAACTCATCGATTTTTCCAGCAACCGAGCAAAACATAAATTCAACTTCAAGGAAGGACTTCCAAGAAACCAGTGTTAGACTACGGTTAAACACCGGCATGGGCATAAACTTATTCAGCGATAACCTTAGGGTACAGCTTTAGTTCTACAGTGTATGCATAAAAATAAAGTGTCAAAGTACTTTAGTACTTTGAATCACGTCATGGTAAAAAATGGTTTTCACGTTAAACCAGAATCCATAAGGAATATGGATGAAACTGGTTTACAACTTGCCGTAAAATCAAGAAAAGTGGTTGCATGAATAACCAAAAAAACCTCTATAGTCGAACAAGTGAAACTCGAGAGTTAATTACTGTTATTACATGTTTTAATGCACAGGAAAAGATCATTCCACCCCAAGGTATAGAGAAGGGAAAGACATCCAGGTCTTTATGGGATTTTAACACTGAGCTCGCCCCTTCGGGGTCAAATTGGAGCTGGTCCGATTAGTTGAACTAAACAGGACCTAGCAAAACTATGTTTTACCAAAATATTTTTTAAAAACATTGGTCCACAATATCCTTAGTTATTGATTCTGGATAGACACGATACTCGCAACTTCAATGAGCTAATTGATATTGATAGTCAGAGCCAGATACATATAGTTGAAATGCCTTCACACACATCAAACTGACTTCAACAATGTGACTATTATTGCTCTACAGCACAAGATCTGATAGGTCAGTTCCAGGAATTACTACTTATCGTTCAAATTTTGTAGGGATACTTGTTTCAGCTTGGGAATAAGCAATGACTTCTAGCAACATTATATCTAGCAAATCGTGTGAAATTTATCCATTCAAATTTATCCACTCAAATCGTGTGAAATTTATCCATTTATTCCTCAGGCTATTCCTAGTGATGCATATTTACCAAACTTTCTACATATAGCTGAGGATATATCAGTTAAGGCAACTGAAAACAATTGTTCTTTGGTTAGCTTTGTATTATCGTGTTTTTGCTAATACTACTATACAATAAAAATTATTATTTAAAATTTTGCTAGCAACTGTGACTACTTTTTTTTGTACAAATTGATAAAAATTCTGAATGAAGCATAAATTTTACTAACTTGCATTTTAACAGTATTATTTATTATTTTTTTAGGAATTCCAATCATCAATTGTTAAAGAAATTAATTTTTCAGACGTTGATGTTTCTATATGTGCTGTAAAAGTTGCTAATTACCTTGAACAAATACAAAATGACACTGATGAAGATAACGTTACTAACGAATTGTTACAAAGAAACACTTCTATTTTGGAAGCAGACACTGTTTTTTTTTAATAATCAGCTTGCATATTTAGTCAATCCAGTTAAAGAAAAAAATGTTGACTTCATGGTGAATAATTTTACTAAGTAAAGTAACAAAGAAATCTTAAAATCATCAAACTTTCTTTCTACTTTCAGATTTTCCCTTTCCGTTTCAGATTTTCCCTTTGCAAATTCTTCTTACCCTGGTAAGTCAATCATTTTACAGTTTTTTCATTTAATTTGATCAAGTGATCAATGGTTGCATAGCAACAATACAACTTTTAATAAAGTTTTAGTTTCAAATTAATTCAAATTTTTTAAAAACATTTAAATACTTGTTCTTATATTAAATATATATGGTTTTATCAATGCAGGTGATGGAGATGATGATGTCTTGTCATATCCTAAGGCCACCGCACGGAAAAACATAGTGAACAGAAAAGGTCAGCCTAAATACTTCGTTTTAATTTCTCAAGAAGCATATTCAGTAAAGCTGAAATATCACCAAGACAAAATCCGATAGCAAAGATAAAAATGCGCAAGAAAACAACTGCGATTTGTTAGAGCTGCTAAGCGACTTAAGGAAAAAAAAGAGAAAAAGTAGTTCGCTTAGAAAAAAAAAACAAAAAATCGTGCCAATTAACAATTTAGTGAGTTGGTTCCCCATTTCGAGCTTTACCAATAACATATAAGTGTTTTGAGCAGAATTCGAACTCGTAACCCTTATACATTGAGTACCATGCTCTAATCACTACGCCATGGCTGCTCAATATAAAAATTAAACTCATGACTAGGCAACAAAAAGACAATATTGTCATATCACTATAGCTCGTAAGTATTGATGTGTTGAATCTATACTTTATTTACACATTGTACAATTACAATTAAGATTGATCTCAGAATCCATATTTAAGTCAGATTCTGGGGAGAAAATTTTCATTCACAAAAACCCCATGGTTTTATACTTTTTTTATTAAAATGGTGTAATTTAGCATAGAAATAAATAACGAAATTTAATCTCACTCACCTGTGTTTAATGCCCTACACAAGTATATGTTTTTTTTTAATTTACACAGTAGGCAACTTTAAATCAACATGGCGAGATTGAGTTCAAATAGGCGAGAATCAATGCTTTTGACACACTAAACAATTTATAATAATACTGCCAACTACTTTCATAAAATCTAAATAACTTTACATAATTTTGTAGCAGAAGAAACAAGCTATCTAATGATGTAAAGTTCAGCTGTGCAAATCAAATAATAGGTTGTCAACATTAATTTCAGTGCGGATGTGGGCGAGGTTCGATTAAGTTACCCTAATAATAAAAGCAATAATCAAATTAATTTTATGTAAGATCTTAAAAATACCTTCTTTTTTTTATTGCTGTATTGATATTTTAGTTGTTTAACTTGATTAACAATCTTTATTAAATAAATCAAACATTTAAAATGTTACGAATAATATAATAAAGATGACATTTTAAATGTCTTCTTTATTAAATAAACCAAAGATTTAAAATGTTCGTGTAATGTAACAAAGATAGCATTATAAAGGTCTTCTTTATTAAATAAATCAAACATTTAAAATTTTAGATGAATATATTAAAGATGACATTTTAAATGTCTTTTTTATTAAACAAATCAAACAATTAAAATGTTCGAATAATATTATAAACACAATTTAAGAGCCGTTTTTTCTAAGAATCAAGCAAATTCCTGAAACTGTGGAAGTGACCTCGACCAAATTGCTTGAATTTTTTATATATTGATCAGAATATAGAGAAAACCTGTTAGGGAAAAAAAAAAATTCAAAAATGTTTCGTTCACTCGGAATCTGGGCTTAAATTTTTGAGATTTTTTTAAAAATTTTTAGAAATTTAGTTTTTGCCACCTTTGAACCCATTTTTTTGGCATGGCAAAAAGTTGCACATAGCTTTTGTAGTTAATATCAGACGTAACCCAAAAGCTCTCTCCAAAAAATATAAAAAAGTTGCGTGACACGGTGCGGTTGGCTAATTATCATAGTTCAAAAGTACAAAATCAATCAGTTTTGTCAATTTTTAATCGGAGTTAATTCTAGCGGCGAAGTGTTGCACACAATTTTTCTTTTAGGATTTAAAATTATCAAAGGTATCGAGTCTAAAAATGCAAAGAAAGTTATGTGATACCTAAGGCCTATTAATATATTAAAGCTTGAAATTGGAAAAAAATGTTTTAGTATACATACAAAGTGAACCATTACGGCAGAGCCGCTTAGTTTTGTAAAAATGTAAACATATCCAACTGTCAATACAAAAAGGTCCTAACATAATAATAAAAAAAATTCGTGTGATTTTGTCACACGCATGATATAACATGAATTAAAAACTGAACAAAAATCTAACATCAAGATAACTATATTGCTAATTAAATAAAACATAAATCAAACATTTAAATGTTTTTCCATTTAAAAATTAGTTTTTCATTTATTAATAGAGTCATTTACACACATTATCCACCACATCACACATAATTTCTACTCTGATGCAGTAAGTTTCTCTAAGAATAATGATATGACTGTATTATAGTCTTCTTCGGATAATGAATAATCGCCACAACCACTGATTAGAAAAGGAGCATTTACTAAACAGATAATTTTATCAGTTTGGTTATTTATCTCCTCGGTAGTAACTGGCCAGCGAAAAGTATTCTTCTCTTGCCCTTTAATCATGCAATTAACTCTGATCCCAGTTATAGATACCTAAAAGTATTAGTGCAACATTTAAAATAATATAATAAAGAGTTTATGATTTGTTTAATTTTGCTTACATTCAATAAAACTTGTAAAGTCTTATATAATGTCATTCTGAAATTATTTTTACATTTTATTTATATTCCTTTTATTTTAGAGCACTGTTTTGTAAAACAAAATAAAAACTTGAAACTAATATATACTTTGAATAATATTACCTCCACAATATATCCAATATTCTATTGTTTTTCATATGCAACAGCAACCCAATCATTCACTTTCCATACAAGACAAATTTCTTTTGCAAGATTGGCGATGTCTTCCTCATATTTATTATCATCTTCACTGTCTCCTGTCAGATTAAAGTCATCATTTTCGCCATAAACTTCTTTGTTATCGTTAACCTGACTATTTTCATTATTTTCTGTTGTCGGTTCTACCAGCTTACCTTTTCTTTTCAGGTTACTAAATCTATAACAATATCAATTGTACATATTTTTAAACATATGTAAACAAACACACAAAATTATAACTTTCACCTAAATTTTTATTTCATATTTGTAAAAGAACTATTTAACAGTCAGAATCATAATCTAATTTAAAAAAGTTTTGATAGCAACAATGCCTACCTTGAAAATAAAGATCTTATCGGCTGGCTAGTTACATATTGATCAGGCGGAAATTCTCTCCTCAGCTGCATGTGAACCTGCTCAGGGCTCATTTTATTACCTGATTCTTCTCCACGAATAAAGTATTTATACAACAGTTCTTTCTGCTGATTTGAAAATCTAAAAGAATTTCAAACTGGTAATGCCCAACCTTGCAATAGAAAAATGTTCATGCAATGCGGTTTGTCTTTTACGGAAGCATGCAATTGTTCATGCAATGCGGTTCATGCAATGCGGTTTGTCTTGCAATGCGGTTGCAATGCAATGCGGTTGTCATGCAATGCGGTTGTCATGCAATGCGGTCCATGCAATGCGGTTCATGCAATGCGGCTCATGCAATGCGGTTCATGCAATGCGGTTCATGCAATGCGGTTCTTGCAATGCGGTTCATGCAATGCGGTTCATGTAATGCGGTTTGTCTTTTACGGAAGCACTGTTAGAGGATGAAGAAATTGGCATATTTAGTTGTGAAGTAATTTTCATCTTATGAACAAACGAGTTGCGAACTTTATCCAATGATGTTAATGATTTCGGAACTGTATGAAGACCGGATAGCATGTGTTCTTGTAACTCAGCATCGCTTTCAAATGATAAAGTGCAATTCATTTCAGTGCAAAATCTTAATAAATATAATTGCCTGTCACTTTTTTTCTGTTTTTCCTTAAGTGACTTGTTACGCCTAATTGAATTATCTGTTTTGCTATATGGCAACAACAACTTAATCGAGGGTTGAATTTTAAGATTTCCATACTCTTGTTCAATTCCCTCACCGATATTGAAATAACGCCACATCTTCATACTTTTCTCACCAAACTCAAATGAGTTATAGTTGCTAATGTTCTTAATCTTTGGTCCAGTAACTACAGTTTTATCATTGCTAATTTGAGCAACTGCTACTTTTGCATCTTTAGCGCCAAAACTATAATGCATAGCCTTGTGTATATCTTCAGCAGTCAAAAGATTATTACCAGAGTCATCGTAACTCCTTAAAATTGTCTTTACAACTGCACTCTCCCTGTCACATTGATCTTTTCCACAACAGGGTTCATTATAATCATATCTCAGCAACTTTATATCTCTCTTTTTGCATACATTTTAGATTGCTTCAGCTGAAAGATTTCCCTGATAGCAGCCGGCATTATCAGATTTGGTAATCATTTTCTTGATATGCGGTTGATCAATTCTGAATTGGTCTAAAACTGCAGTGGCTAACGAAACAACATCACCTATTCCCTGATCACACCTATACATTGAAGTAAAGTAAACACGTTTGAATAACTTTCCTGCTATTTTTATGAAGAATATATCCACATGTAAACACATTCCTTTCTTGCCAAAATAATCTCTTTGGCCCTCTCTGTATCGAACCGGAAGAAATTTTTGACAAAAATCTTTAAGCCAGAAAGCAGTTTCATTGTTTAATTTCTTAAAAGCTTTAATTTTTGCCTTTTTCTGTTGAGAATCTCTCATCAGGTGTTTTATGTAGTTGAATACATCCTTTACAGAAATTTCCAAATCATAAATAGAATCAACATTGTCAGAATTTTGAATTGTTAGTTCTTTGATCATCTTGATAGCTTTGCACAAATCATAGCAATCGGCACATACCACTTCTGATATCTCTGTGTTGGATTAAAGATTTTTTTTAGATGGATCTGATAAGTCATGTTTTGAGCTATGAGAAGAAATGTTTGAGTCATTGACACCACAATTGGTTTGATAACTTGTTTTCAAATACCTTTTTCTTTTTTCAAGGGCAGCTTCGAGAGATTTAGAACTAAATCTTTGTGCCAATTTTTGTAATGTTTGAAAACCATTCATGCCTGAAGCAGTAACATCATCTAATCCAGCTAAGCTTTTTCGACTTGAAGGATTTATTGCATGCAATACTTTCCACAAACTTGAATCAGATAATGGTATATAATTGTTTTCACTACAACTTTTTCGATAGAACATGATAGCGTGGCTATATTTTGTCGTCAGAATTGCATGCACTATCTTTTGTTCTTCACCGCTGTCGTATTTTAATTTGGTTATTCCATAAGCAACATCATGCAAAATACCGCTTGTAAATATAAAGTCTAAGAAATGTTCACACTTTGTTTGATCAAAACTAGATCGGACGAATACTTTTTTCTCTGGAAATGCCAACCCTTTATGAGATGCATGCCATTTTCTTGCTGTTTCTATACGATGTTTGGTACACTCAAATGTGTTCATTATAAACTTTTTGGTATAATTGGTATGGTCTAATAATGAAAGGATAACTCACTTTCCCATGGAATCACTTTGCTTATATACTTTCTGAGCACGAATAATTTCAATTGGGAGAGGGCTATTTATTTCATCAACATTTTTACTGTTAAGAAAATCTATAAGTATTTCCTCTTGTCTAGGAGCAACAGCTTCCGCAAATTTTTTCTTTAATAAGTTTTCTAGGCGAACATTCTTGCGTTTTAACTTATCTTTAGCAGTGACGGATTTAGTATAGGGCGTGAGGGGGGGCAAGCTGCCCCCCCCCACGCCCCCTAGAACGGTCTAACGGCGCCCCCTAAAACAATTAAAATGTATATATATATATAAGATTAAATTATTGAAGGCAACCCCGGTCGCCCCTATTTATTGACTTGGCCCCCCCGCGACGCTAAACCTCAATCCGCCACTGATCTTTAGTAGTATCTTCCAGATATTCGAACTTCCTTTTTAATCTAAATTTTATTGGACTTGCATTAAGAACCTCAGTTACACTCTCACGGCTTCTTAGAGATTCGTCCAAAATCTCCTGTGAAACATTAATTTCACCGGGATCAAATTCTTCATCTGGAGTAGCAGGTGTCATATATGTTTGTTCTTGTTGTGTTTGTGTTTCTGTACATAAATTGGTGTTTTTGTTGACTCTAGATAAAGCTGTTTCTTGCTTTAAATGGGTAAAACACAGCATTTCACTAACTGAAAATACTTCATTGTATCGCTTTGACATTGATATTGACATGTATTGGTGACGCCCTTAAAGCGGGAGATTTTTTTCCTTTTATATTTAGATGGTGAGGATGAAAACATGTTTTTGGAGGACTCCATGCAATACCAAACGTGTACCGGTGAAAAGCACATATTTGTTCATCCTTTTTAAGATTTCTTTTAAGTCTATTTGCAATAAGTCCATTTTCTTCCCAAATGTTATTATCGTTTAATCGCATGACGTAAAAACAATTTTTTAAATAATTATTAAGTGCGTCATTTAAAGCATTGTTTATAATCTGACTCTTCACGAAAAATGTTTACAAGTTTGAAATACATTGTTGTTATTATTAAAATACAATATTGCAAGAGTGTGATTAATTTAGTGATTATTTATTAAAAGAGTGAGGAATTAATTAAAAGAGCTATTTTTTTTTTGTTTAAAGAACTTTGTCTCAAAATCTTATTGCAGAGAAGTTATAAAGTATGTAATTATAAAAATTATATTACAGTCTGCGTAAATTTAAAATACATAATTACCTTTAACTTGATGAGGTGTTTCTTAACATCAACATCTCCCAGCTGATGAATGTAGAACATTTTGTTTATAATTTTTTGAATGTTGTTTTTTGAATGATCCACAATTTCCTTTTGAAAAGCAACAACAGTTTTCATAAAAATATTTGTTTTGTTCCATACTCAACTAAAAACAAGTTCTATTTATGCAGTACCTATTTCTCAATAGCAATGATAAAATATCTACTCTATTTATGCAAATTTTAAAGATCGTTAAAATAAAGTTAAGACATTTTTATGGTAAAGTAAACAACCGCCCACTAACTTGTTTCTCCACAATCGTGATATCAGCGATTCTTCTTCCATTCGATCACCACAAGTTATTTGGTTATGACGTAAATCTGAATAATTCACTTCTGATCATGTGTTGTTTTTTATTATTATTTATTTCAATTGTTATGATTTTTATATCATAGTCAGAAACGCTTAAATTTTTTCTTAACATTACGTGCAATGTTTTGCGTAATGCTAATTGCTAATTTTGGATGATAGAAATTTTATTGTGAGCGAAAACCTCATCTGTGTGTCAAAAAAAATATCTCTTCGTACTTAATCATTTTTAACAATTTGTACCTTTATTTTTAACTTAATATCTAAAGATCACATGAGTTTTTTTTTAAACTATGTTAGGGTCATCTTATATTGACCATTTAACATGATTATATTTTTACAAAACTTAGCGCCTCTGCCGTAATAGCTCATTTTGTAAGTATACTATAACATTTTTTTCCAATTTCAAGCCTTAATATATTAATAGGCCTTAGGTATCACATAACTTTCTTTGCATTTTTAGACTCAATACCTTTGATATATTCAAATCCTAAAAGAAAAATTGTGTGCAACACTTCGCCGCTAGAATTAACTCCGATTAATAATTGACAAAACTGATTGATTTTGTACTTTTGAACTATGATAATTAGCCAACCGCACCGTGTCACGCAACTTTTTTATATTTTTTGGAGAGAGCTTTTGGGTTACGTCTGATATTAACTACAAAAGCTATGTGCAACTTTTTGCCTTGCCAAAAAAATGGGTTCAAAGGTGGCAAAAACTAAATTTCTAATAACTTTTAAAAAAATCTCAAAAATTTAAGCCCAGATTCCGAGTGAACGAAACATTTTTGAATTTTTTTTTTTCCCTAACAGGTTTTCTCTATATTCTGATCAATATATAAAAAATTCAAGCAATTTGGAGGAGGTCACTTCCATTGACTGCCTGATTGTTACAAAAAATGACTCTTAAGTTTCTTCTTTATTAAATAAATCAAATATTTAAAATGTCATACGGTAATAAGTATTAAATTTTTTAATTTTTTAAAATTTATTTATAATAGTTTAGATTACATAAATACCGTAAACCGGGGTTACATTAAACAGTTTTGACATATTTTTACTTTTTTCACGACTGACAATAGTTAAAATTTAACAAAATAAATATAGGGGCTAAGATTGACTCTTACATAATTCAAATTTAAAATACATTTTAAATTAAAGAATTTTCAATAATATTAATTTAAAGAGTCATTCAAAGTTAACCGACAAATGGGGTAACATTAATGCGATTTTTGTAAAAACAAAACCTATTTAAAAACGCCTTTTTTTTGTTTTAAGGTTTATTAAAAACAACAGTTTAGTTTGACTAGAAATTATTTTTGCTAAAATAATATAACATTATTTCATAACAAACACCCATTTAGTATTATATTTTGTTTTAATGGGTATGTTTCAAATGGACTAGCATAAAAAAGTTTTATTTAAATCAGTTTCACTTACAAACTATGCAAGTGGAACATCTTTACATTTAGCAGAAAAATTCTCAAAAAAAATACTTCTGGTAAGCTCAATAGTAATTTTTTCCCTCTAAACCTGCTTTTTTCATAACATCAACGTGATTTTATTTAACATTTGTTAAATTACATTAATTACTGCTACGTGTAGTAAAATTACTACTACCATCTTACAAATAATTGAAAATGATACTTATTGAAATGATAAATCTCATATATTTTTCAAAACCACTGAGCTACTAAGTTGCTGATTACCTTTGATCTGACAAATATAATGTTTATAAGTAAATAAAGTACAAAGAAAATTTATTTTTTGTAATTACCTGTGCTTTTTTTGAACAAGAGGTTTTTAATTGATCAAGTATTTTCCTCCAATATTTTTTAAAAGGTACATAAAGTGCAACATCAAGAGATTGCAATGAATGGGTAGAGTTACTAGTTATAAAATAAAAAACTGTTTTCTTCACAAAAGTATACTATTTTCTTTATTAAACTCAAGTACCTTTTTATTGTAAAGGTTGCTTAGGTTATAACTGTTAGAAAGGCTATTACAATTTAACAAAAAACAAAAATAAACCATTCATAAAAGTGAATAAAATCAAATTGTCCATAGATTGTATTACAATTTGATTGTATTATACATTAGGTGGTTCAGTTTTGGTTCTTGTTGTCCAAAAATTGTCAGCTTTATAAACATAAGTAGTGACAATTTGCCCAGAGGCACTAGACATGATTGACGTAACAATTGGTAATTTTTACATATATGTAAAAACTGTGGATTTTCTATGTGTTTTTGAGTAAAGTTTTTAAACTTCATTATACAAACTGGAAACTTTCACCCAATTATCTATTCATCTAGAAAACATTAGTTAATGTTTTCATCAAATAATGTTTATTGCTCGCATGAAAACTGGCATTCAGTATAACTTATATACTACCTTGTATCAATTTTTTCGTATAAACATGAGATATTACTGCTTTAAAATTCTAAATAAAAACAAATTTAAAAATGAATAAAAGTACTTTCAACAAATTCAACTGAACAAAATATTGAATGTACACATATATCATATGACACTTTTTATACAAGATATAAAATTTATTAGTGTTTTGCAAAAAAAGTTTATACACACAGACATACAAAAACACACACACACGCAGAAACACACACACACACACACACATCACCACACACACACACACACACATATATATATATATATATATACACACACACACACATACATACACACGCACACACATACACACTCACACACACACACACACACACACACACACACACGCACACATATATACACACTCACACACACACACACATTCTTGCCATAATTACAACTTGAAAAAAAAAAGATTTGTATTCAAAGTTACCCCGCTATAAAAAGTAACTTAATGTATTTAAGCATAACTAAGGCTTTATTTAGGCTTAACTAAGGCTTTACTTAGGCTTAATTAAGTAACCTTATGTTCTTAGCCTTAGGCTTACGGTGTTTTAAGATATATTATTAGAGGTAATAAAAATAAATCACTAGTGTCATTAGATATAAAATTTTATCAATGACTACTATAATGGCATTGTAGTTATTAGAAGCTGCAGTTTTACATTTTAAATATGTTACTTTTGTTTGATTTTTTCTGTGTTTGATTGTAAAACCCCATCTACTAATATAATAAACCATTGTACAAAAAGTGATGTTACTAGAATTTATATTCTACTTATGTAGAGCTTTCTTATATCGCCAGACATTTGATTATTAGGCCTATGGCTTACCAACAATAATTGATTGAATTGTGAGATTAAATCGATAAATAATAATTAAAAACAATTAAAATCAAAAATCTCAATTTAAATAATTATTTTTATTTTCCTAATTTAAATCATGATTTCAATTAATTTAAAAAATGTGTTTTAAATCAATTGATTTAAATCCAAACAACTCTTTATATATTCCATCTTTCTGAGGCAGAGGGACATTATTCTTGGTTTTATTATTTTTTAACTTAATTTTATTGGAATTTGTTTTTATTTAGTTTGCGTACAACACTTAACAACTTTAAGCTTATGCATTAACTTTAGTTATAACTTAATTATAAATGAATTGTTTTATAGATTTTTTTTAGCAATGAAAGATTGAATTTAGCGGAAGGCTAAGCTTCTGCTTTGGAGACAAAAAAGGAAAGCAGCAAAAATAATCATCCAAAATAAAGATTGAAGAGACAAAAAAATTGTGTATATCTTGGTGTAGTTGATTCTTCAGATTATTTTAGTAATGATTTATCCTCAATTTAAAAAATACAAAAAATGTTAATAAACTTTTGGACTAACCTGTAACTTCAAATTAAATGCAGAAGTTCAATGTTTGCTTTAAGAAGTTTCAGGAGCAGTATAATGACAAAACTTATTAAATGGTAAGTTTTATTTCAAAAGTCTTTTTGTCTGATGATTAGAATAAGTCAGAGTGTTAATGAACATTTTGTTGGGCAATAATCAACATATCAAAGCTTTGAAACAAAATCTTTGAAATCATAAACCTTTAACATAATAAAACTTGGAAAAAAAAACTTTGAAATCGATTTGAAATCAACTCTTTGGATGAAAACGTAGTATTCATATGAGATTAAAGTTAAGGATTTTATATAAATATTTGGCTATGAATCCATTAGGAAAAATGTTATTTTAATATGAGACTTGTCCATTTGAAGAAATATTGTTTTAATATGATTTTAAACGAGATTTGTTTTGTGTTAGTGCTAGAACTGAATGCACACCAGCAAGTTCCATTATTCATAAAAGTATTACAAAACCATTAGCCAGTATATATTTTTATCATTAAAAATTTGCTTATCTGTCTTTAA